CAATGCAGGCTTAATTTCATCCCACTGATGAAGGATGTTTATAAACGGCGCCTGCAGTGCGAGCTGGGTGTGAAAATATCAGTTTTATGCCTTTTGATAAGAATTACCGAGGCGGAAGGCTTATTAGACGATTACAAATTTCGCAGCTGCTCGCAGCCCAATTAGGCAGCTCTTCGGGTGAGTGGAAGCTGTGGGGGTCGGGGTGGGTTGGTGTTCCCTCTCTCCAGCCCCGGACCTCCAATCAAGGCCTGGCTCCACGGGATCTAGACCCCTTCCCTGCCCCCATCGGTTTTTAGGGAGATGCACTCAAGGCTTCCCTGGAGCAGGAAAGGCACAGCCTGGGACAGGAGGCACTCGGAAGTCTCTCAGGCTGTCTTTCCCATGGGCTTGCAAAAAGCCCGGTGATCGCGGGTGTTGGTAGACACCTTGGGTGGGCCTGCGGTCTCTGATTTTCAAATTTTCAATTTAGTAGGTAGGAACTGTCACGACGCAGGCGATTGCTTTTCCACCTGTGGACACACAAGATAATGTTTTCTCGATCAGAGTCTTCGTTCAAAATTGGAATCAATTGGAGTTTGGGCTAAAAACCCTCATTTCTAAGACCAAACAAACAAAAACAAAAAACTCTTTTGATTTTTAGCCCAAGTACCCCTGTAAATTAGCAAGGTACTTTTGCTTTGCCCCAGCCGAGGACGAGCGCAGGTAAGAGGTGTGACGCCAGCTCCAAGGAACCCGGCCACTATGAAGAAGCTATACCTTCCTATGCCAGCCCCTGACAAAAGGTCAGAAGGTCGTTGTAACCCAGACCGACAGGACGATCAGCCCTGGCATTCATAGCAAACACATTCCCCTCTTCTTGCACACTTGACCCCGAGCCAAAGGCTTATACCGCCAGGACATAGAAATTGACTCACCGCCCAGAGGTTTACAGTTCAAGGATGGGTGCGCGCAGCTGCACCACGGGACAGGTCAGCATCCCACAGGCGCCTGGAGTAAAGCGAGGCCAGACCAATCTTTCAGGGCTTCTGCTCCTGTCTGACGACCATTCTTCTTCCCCAAGCCCAGAAACCTCTAAAAATGAATTATTTTCTCCACTTATGCAGAGATAGACGCTCTTAGATCAAGATTAGTATTTTGAAAACCTGATTGAGAGCCGCCTGATTAGGCAAGGGTGGGTGGAAAGACCGCATAAATGCCCGCACCCCCGCCCTACTTCCCTAACACAGCTCTAGCTCTCTCTGGATCTCCAAATGACCCGCGCGATAAATTCTCCTCGATAGTAGCCAGACAGTACCCCAGATTCACTTTAAACCGCCCCCCCCCCCCCACACACAGAGTAATTAAATATCCAAACTGGACCTTTATGTTTAATTCCACTTTCAACGAAATCCTGCTCTATACACGACCTGATGGCGCCAATGTTCTGCACGACTCTGACTTTCCATTCAGAAGACCGGTCTCCAGAACGATGCTATTTCATGGAAAATGCATTATGTGAATTTCCCCACCACCCCCAATACCGATTTTTGCACTTGATGAAAAACACAAGTCTTTCTGGTTCCCACGCACAAGTTAGCTTTTTGAAAAGTCAATCCACCCTAATCTTTCAATTTTCTAAGAGGGCACAGATTAATTATAGCGTCTCCTCCCTTCGCTCAGTAAATTTAAACGAGATCTCCCAGAGAGGACCTGCAGGGGGATGGCTAATATTAACTTGTGCGCAGCTGCGCGAAAAGAAAAACAATGGCGATAGGAAAATGCTCTGAAGACTCTAGTGTTTATGGGAGAAAAATGCAATGGAGGAAAAACTAAATCTGTAGTGGTAACTCGGTCCCAGACTTTTGCGCAGGCTCACTTCATCACAGGAAAGGCTATCTATCTCCTCCGCTAGCCGGCTGCTGACCGAGCTGGGTTCTGGGCAAGATCCTTTCGATCTTTTTCTTCTATACAAATAAGGCAAGGAGATAAGACATGTGTGTGTGTGCGTGCGTGTGTGTTTACATATATATTTCCACGTAATTAAAGCAAAATCCTATCATTCTGTTAAAGGCCTTTAAGAAACAGACTCCTAGATCTCAGTTTCAGAAGTTTGTTTAGTTTTTTTAATGGAAACAAAAATCATTAAAAAATAATCTTTTAACCAAATTTGTCTTTATGCACTAAATAATGAAATAAAGTTTATACCACAAAGAGTCTGTTTTAAACAAACACACCTTCCAGTCTTAATAAAAATTACGGTACCCAGAGTACCTCCCTCCGCTGCTCCCCCGCCCGCAGTCAGAACTTGAGGCAGTAGACCAAGGCTGCTAGGGCTTAAATTTTGTCTAGGAGATGAAAGAGCAATACTCATTAGCAACATACTTTTGTCTTTCTTGTGGCCTTGATTTCAAATCTAGTCGCAAATCATAAGCTTTTGTGTTGCTCAGATGTTCCTTCTTTATCTTAATGAGAAAATTTTTCGGAAAGGGAGCGCGAACTGCTAGATAAGTCAGCCCCCAGGCTGCCAGAAGAGGTGGCGTTTCTCGGCTAGACCGGAGAGCTGCGAGTTTCAACAGAATGACTAAAACTTTCAAGTCACCCAGACCTCCACTTCCCCTTCTGCTTGCTGCAGAAAGAGATGTAACCTGAATCTTTGTTTAGGTTTGGGTTGGGGAGCGAGAATTTAAAAGTTATGGCAAATACAGACAGCAGATTTTTTAAAGTCAAGTTAACGGGACATCCCCCATTTTTTTTTTCTTTAGTACTAAACCTGAAGTCAGTTAGCGTGTCCTGATAAAGATTTTAACATGTAGAGAAGGCGGGTTTTCCTTAAAGAGGTGAGGCTGTTTCTCCAGGAAAAGACTTTCCCCCACATGCCCCCTCCCTTTATATTAGGTTCCACCCTCTGGAAAACAAAACTTTTTTTTTTTTCTTTTCCTGGAGGGACAGAGCTCAGTGAAGTCGGGAAAGGAATTACGGTTCATCAGAAAGTGGTCAGGCCACAGCGGCCTCTTTGGACGAAGACACACTTGTAGCATTATCCTTCTCAGCATCAGCTTTTATTAGTGGATCGGGGCGGGGGGCGGGGGAGATCGGCAGACACCGACAGCCTCTGACCCTCTGGAGTTGGTATGTGATAAGCAGCCCTAGCAGTGCCATGTATTGGAAGAGCGATCAGATGTTTGTGTGTAAACTAGAAGAAAAGGACGTGCCGGAGCTGGCAGTTCCCCCTGAGAAGGTGAGCGAGCCGACGCCTGGCCAGACCCGCTGAATCGCAGTGTCCTTGAAACTAGAGTTGTTTGGGCTCCTAAACGAGGTTCAGAAACTACCTGTAACGGCCTCATCTTCAGACCTGGCAATTTTTTTTTTTTTTATTACGTAGTAGCGTTAGTCAGTAATCATTGCACTCCCTCCCCAAAAGCTCACTTAACCTGAGACATGGAGACTGTAATTTGGGACATGAAGCCTCAAGCCTAAGGCGCTCTCAGGTCCGTGTGAGTCGTGCTTTTGTTCTGTTTGCTGTGGTGATCGTGGCTGTCCGGGAGAGTGGGTCGGGAGGACTGGGCGGTTGTCGGTGGAACCGGAGACCCGGCTCGTTTCGCTAGGATGCCCGTGGACACTTGCTGGCTCTGAGGCACACCTCCCTCTGCGGGGCTCCAGAAAGGCCTCTGGGATCCCAGGGTTGGCCGGGAGAGCCATTTTACCTAAAATGCCAAAAGAAAACCGCAGGGCACAAAACGAGTCACGCGGTTTGTCTGAGTAGACTGGGGAACCTGACAAGCTCTCACCTCACTCTGGAGGCAGGACCTATGGGTATTTGGTGTTTTAAGTTTGAAATCATCGGCAGCCTGAGTGCCTCAGCAGGACCCGCGCGAGGCGCCCCTGACTATTTCTTTGCTCCGAAGCTGGTTGGGGACACCAGGCGAACACCGAGCTGTTCTGCTTAAACGCCCTTTGTGTGAGGAAGCAGCCTCAGTGCAGCTACGGTGGGTCCCGCGTAGGGGGCGCACCCCAGAAAGGGAGGGTCTCGGCCGAGGGTCCTGGAGGCCCCCAGGTTGGTATCTTGCCTGGTGCTTCCAGAGGGAGGGAGAAGGGGAGGCGAACAGTCAGAAATGCAGAAATGTGAGCGGCTCGAGTTCGGGGGACCCATCCGCCCCCGAGCTAGAGTTTTTGGAAACGAAAGCAGTCTAACCCCAGAGACGCTGCGTTCTCGTTTAAGAACAAAACTCTTGCAAATACTTAGAAACACTTGAGTAACGCGCGTTGTTTCTTTAAAACATTTTGTCCGAGGTTGCGTGAGTTCTTTTAATGGCACAAATTAAATTCAGCTGGATATTTTCCATTATTCTACCCGCTTTTTGCGCTGGTTAAAAATAATCCTTTAGTAGCTCAAATGTTGACTTACTGAGCAATAAGTGGCAATTTACACCTTAAAGAAACGAGTGTAAATCACTCGCGACTCTAATTGCTGTAAGTTTACGAAAGAGCTGCTGGCGCGGTTTAATCTGAAGCATTTTCATTCAAATTGTCATCGGAACAAACACCAGGCTTCTTAAATCCCGCTGTAATTAGCTTTCAAGTATCCTATTAAACCTCTTCACCTTTCGGGCTATCCTATTCAAAAAGCCCCCTTTTAAAAAATATATGTGTCTTGCTCTTTTAATTGAGGTTATTAAAGAAATCAAGTTTCTTCTCCCACCCCTTCTCAATCCTCTTTTCTTCTCTCGCACTCCACCTCCCCCTGCCCCGCACCCCCTTTAGCCCGGTGTTCCCCGCTCCGCTATGATTGACGTCTGGAAAGAAAGCGCTTTGTGCGGGGATGATTGTTATTAACTTGTTATCCCCTGCGGGGGGGCGGGGAACCGAAGTGCCCGGGGACCCGGAGCCCGGGGAGCGCCGATGCGCTTCGGGCCAGCTACCGGCGCTCGGGTGGCGGCCGCCAGCGGCCAGCGAGGGAGCCTGCGCGCCAGCCCTCCTGCGGCGCCCGGGCTTAGGCGCCGTGACGGCTGCACGCGCTGCCGGGCGCTCTGAGGGCCTTCATTAGCTCGCTCCCCGCGCCAGGGCTGGGGCGCACAGGACGCTCGGAACTTCTGATCTGTTTCTCCATACTTTCTCCCCCTCCTACTCAGCAGTGCCAGGGGCTCATGTCGGAGGAGTGCGGGCGGACTACAGCCCTGGCGGCCGGGAGGACTCGGAAAGGCGCCGGGGAAGAGGGACTGGTGAGTGCGGAGGGGCTCGGGTGCCCGCAAGACTGCCCGTGGGGAGGCGGGGCAGGACGAAGGGCAGCTGTCCCTGCGCTCCTTCCAGGGCCCAGCTGGCCTCTCCTGCAGCGGACGGAGGACGGGGCGGGGAGGGTCTGGGTGGGGTGGGAAGCTTAGCTGGCCGGCGAGGAGGGCAGGACCGCAAGACTCCTGGGGTCCGAAAAGGTCAGGGGTCGGCAGCCCCGGCGGGTGCGTGGCCAGAGCTTGTACTGGGGAAAGAGGGCGAGAATCGTAACCTCAAGAAGCTGTGGGTGGGGTTGAGTGGCCAGAGGGAAGGGAGGGGAGGCGGTGGGGGCGCCCGTGTGGGTAGGTGGGATGCGAAGGGGAGGAGGGATCTAGAACCGCCTGCGCCTCGCGGTTTCCTGCAGGTGAGCCCCGAGGGAGCGGGGGACGAGGACTCGTGCTCCTCCTCGGCCCCGCTGTCCCCGTCGTCCTCGCCCCGGTCCATGGCCTCGGGCTCCGGCTGCCCCCCTGGCAAGTGTGTATGCAACAGTTGCGGCCTGGAGATCGTGGACAAATACCTTCTCAAGGTAAGACAGGGCCTCGGGCGCGAGGCCCAAGGGGACGCGGGCTTAGCGTGGGAGCTCTGGGAAAAAAGTAATGTTCCTCCCACCAACCTTTCCGTTCAAGTTCTGGATGGAGGTTGTAGGTTTTCGCAGAAAATTAGCCCAGTTTAGGGCAACTCATGCGGTGAGATAAAGTGAGAAGAAATCCCAGACTCTTCTACGTCGTTGCAAAACAGCTAATATGTGACACATCCTGGTGTGGATGCGCTGGAGTCAGCCACCGACTTGTAGTGGAAGGGAAGTGGAAAAACCCTTATCCATTCTGAGACGGAAACCTGCTTAGTTATTTTTTACCCAGCCCCGCATTATTCCTTTCTTAAACATCTTTGTTTCCTCTAAACGGACTGCGGTCTCTCCACCCCAGTAACGTCCACGCCCATGCCTGCTTAGAAGAATTTTAAGTCGGTATGTATTAACTGATTCCCCTTTGCAGTGTCTCTTTTGGTGAGAGCCACTGTAAAGTAGCTTAAAGGATCTTTTCTGGACAAATTTTAAAAATACAGTCCTATGTTTTTTACTGTTACCTGAGGTTTTTGCAAAGTTAAAGTTTATAGGTGCATTTAAATAAAAACCATTTCAATACCTTCCTGCTCTTATTAAGGTTTAATACTTCTAGTCCACTCAATGCCGTCATCTCGAGTGCTTGGGGAGAAAATGGAAATTGATGTAAAGTTAGACACACACAGCCTGGGAAGAAGTGTTTCAAGTGTGTTTTGAGAGTTGATTGTCTTAATTTGTTTTACTTTTCTCTTAAAATATTGGGAAATTTTAGATTAGAAATTTTGGCAGGCCACAGTTATCCACCTCAGTGCAGACAGGATCATGGTCCCATGTGTCTTAATCAGAATATCATGGGGTTTCAACTTAAATAGCTTTTTAAAACCGCTGTTTAAAATAATGGTCTCTGCTACACTGAATTAGTAGCAAAACAGTTCACTTTCTATTCTCTCCCCACCCTGCTTAGGTTTTCAAAAGGAGTAATTATGGAGAGTATGTATTCAAAATTCGTGTTAATGGGTTTCTTTAAGTTTCTACCTCAACATAAAAAGCTTCTTCATCTGTAAAATGGGAAGGCTACCCTATAGATAAAACCTAGACAAAATGCCAAAAGAAGATTTGGTAAAAACATTTAAAAATGACTAAATTAATCTTACTTGGTGGTTGATTCTTAAAGTTGGCAAATTAACATTGGCTTTCTCTTTAAATCTGCATTCTTGAGATCCCACTTTCCATGTTGCTAAAACTGAGCCTTTTGGATATTGCAAAATCATCTTTTGGGTTAAAACTAGCATCTTATTTTTAATGAGCCCTCTCGATAATTGCCGTAATCTTTAAGAATGTTTCTGAGTAGACCTATGAAGGCTCTAACACTTCACAGCAGAGAAGATATAGAAGAGTTGTGAAGTGACATTTAACACACCCTCTGAAATAGATAATAGTTTCTAGTGTTAATCGTGTGTGTATATATGTATATATATACACACATATCTTTGTATTGTATAACAATCTAAGTTAAGTGAGTTACATAAAGCTTTCCTTTGTAATAGGGCAGGAGTCCTGCCAATGAAGTCTTCCATATGCAGTGTTATTGTATCACTTCTTGTATTCTTTAGTGTGTAAGTTCTAAAGCTTGATACTATATGATTGACAAAAACTGAGTTATTAACTTTTTTTTTCCATTTTGAGTACTTCCTGCAGATAAGTTTGAGTTTAACTTGAGTCACTGTTTTTTTTTTTTTTTTTTTAAGTTAGACCTAGTATAGAAATATTATTTGAGGGTGTAACTAATATAGAAAAACACTATCTTGCAAGGCAAATAAAATGGAGTTAGAACAGAAAAGTATGACAGGAGTTAGAAGCATCTATTGCCTTGTTTAATACTTCAGTGCTCTGTCCTTTGGGTAGGTTTTTCTGGCTTAGTCCAAGTTATATGTTTAGACATGTACAGATTAGATCAATAGTAGGTTTATAGTCTCCAGAATCTCCTCTCCACCTTACTTTACTCCCTAGCAAAGAAATTGAAGATAAAGAGACATTTTAGGGGGAAAGTAAACTTTGAAAAAAGGTGACAACCAGGTCTGGCTTTAGAAGGGAGTAAGAGAGAGGCCATGGCTCTTGCCCTAAATAAAGCCTTGCTTTAAAAACAAAACAAAACAAAACAAAATCCTGGGTAAGACTGAAATACAGAAGGCCCTAAACAGTGGAATTTTAAAGGAAGCCTGTTTTTCTAAAGTTTATACTGATTGGTTCCATTTTAGGAAAAAAAAGAGGAAAATACTTTTTTATTTCCAAGATAGTATTCAACATTGTTAATATTATTTATTCCAGTTTCCTCAGATTTATTTCTGTTTTCTTTGTTATTTTAAATATTGTCTATAGTGAGCATGTAAGTTCTAAGTTCTTGTAAAGACTAAAACTTTTCAAATGTCATCAAAATGAGACCCTCATTAATGCTTTGGAAAGAGACACATAACTGTAATTAGAAGTCTGTAAAACTTTCAGCTTCGAAGTACCTTTTATATATCAGAGAAAAACATGTTGAACAGTAGTTCTAATTTGATAGACACATAGTCTTTATTATGGAATAGTTGAGCAAAAACCGTATCTCACAGTCATTTATTTTCCTATTTTAGTCATTGGATCCATTTTTAGGGTGTAATTGGTGTTTTTGTATGTTACTGTTCTTTTACATGAAATTCAATTAAGCATAAATCAGGTTCTTGTGTCCACTTAACAAGAGCAAACTTTGGGAGCCTGCATTGGATGCAAGCCAGTTCTATCTAATACACATCTTCATAATCCAGGGCTAAAGTTGTAGCTCTTATAATATAATGGCAACAGTATAAAGTGAGAGTAATTATGACTTGTTCCCTGGATTGAAAGTATTTCAGGTTCCTATTTAGAAAGTATAAAATACTGACCTTATTAAATACCATCTTATATTTTACTACTTGAAGTGTAAGTGGAAAACAATGATTGGGTGCTTTTTTAGAACCACTTATGATTAAATTTATTTTTTTCTCCTGTAGCCAAATCAGTAAGCAGTTTTACCAATATACTTTACTACTTACTTCTATTGTTTCTGTACAATGTTTAATGTTAGAAGAGAGCACAGGTTTCTGCTACATCAACATTTAAATTTATCTGAGCAATTTCTGTCCTGTATGGGTAACTATCTCACAAAACCACGTTTTCACTTTCTTTATTGCTCTGTTTAGGGAGTATACAGTTTATAATTGTTTAGCCAAAAAATAGGTTGAGAGAGTGTTTGTCTTCTTTAACTACAAGGTTTCATGGTGGGAAGAACTTGGTAAAATATAACAAAAAAACCTGCATGTAGGACTTTAAAGTAACCAGATTATTCCCTGTGTTCATAAAGATTCCATTTAAGAAAGAAAGGAAAAGCAACCTGAATTCTTCAAAGGAATAGAAAATATTATAAACACAAAATGTGGCACATATTAGTATAAATTTTTGGTTGAGGTCTAAAAGATAATTATGTCCAGATACATGTTTATAAAAATGACACCTTTTGGATGAAAACATTCAGAGCATGTGTTAATATATTAAGGGGCCAGTTTTTAAAATTGCCGAATACACAAAACCAATGAATACTTTTCTTAAATATGGTATTACAGTGGCTTCTCTTCCCATCACAGGTGAATGACCTATGCTGGCATGTCCGGTGTCTCTCCTGCAGTGTTTGCAGAACCTCCCTAGGAAGGCATACCAGCTGTTATATTAAAGACAAAGACATTTTCTGCAAACTTGATTATTTCAGGTATACTATGAAGCTTTTTCTTAGTAGATACTGGAAGAAATTATTATGCAAAGAGGCTTTTGTAATAGGCTTTTTCTTGTTCAGTTTTATTTAATGAAGCCCAGTTTTTCATATTTAAGAAATTTCAAAATGAGGGTACTTTCATGTTTGAGATATAATGTGTATACATAAGCATGTTTATCCTTTTTAGGAATTCAGTAGACAAAAGTTAATTTTAAATAATACTTTCACTTTGGGGAGTGAAAGTTTGAGGCATTACAAACAGGGAAACTTTTTTGCTGTGCATAGGCAAAAAGTATGAAAAACAAGATGACTTATGATGAAGCCCCTGTTTGGTGGGAATGGTTAGATGAAATAAAATCATTATGGGGGAGAAAAATCAAGATTTTGTTATGCTTTTACCAGTTTACCATAGAATGATCCCTACTTATAAACCTATACAATTCTAAGGGTTTGGACACCATGATAAACCATAGTATTCAGAAGAATTGACCATTCTTGTATAAATACACCAAATCTAATTCTGCCTCAAACTATTTATTTTGTCCAATCTTCAGTTTCTGAAATTAGATGAGATTTTAGATGAGATCTGAAATTAGATAACATTTTCTCTGTGTGATCTCTCCATAGTTTAAATGTAAAGTTTCTTCCAAGATATAATTCTGTATGAACAACTGTCTAGAAATTAAAATATTTCTCAAGAATGACTTTTAAAAATTATAACATATTTTCTTTATTTACTTTTCTAAATGAAAAAATGTTCATTGTGATGGGGAAACTAATACTATATAATAAAGGTTGTAATACTAATTATGTTTATACTCCATTTCAAAAAATGATTTCAAAGAGTTTAGCGATTAATTTGAATAAAAATTGCTAGGTAGTTTAAAATAATTTATGAGACCTAGAGTCTTTTATAAAATCACAGAATTTTATAATTACCAAAAAGGCATATTTCTCAGCAGGTTTACTTTTCATTATTTTAATATTAGTAATAATTTGCTTCCTCATTCATTTGGGATAGGCTAATCTTAATTTTTTGTAGTAACTTAAAGCCCTTTGAAAGGTTTGGTTTGAAAGATTCGACAAGTGAAAGTCTAGTTCTTTAGGATTTTTAAACTCCTTGCTTCATGTCGTATTATATTGTGAAATTTATCTTTAGAATTCTATTTTTCAGAGTAACTAAAAAAACAAGTGGTAATAACTTTAAAGATATATCTATCAATAAATAGATACTGACTAATCTAGTGTGATTTGGACATGCAGGGCCATGACTGTGATTGTGATAGGAGACATGACAAAGAGTTTCCAGTCATTCAGGCTGTAAGAAAAAAAGAACTATTTACATATAACTTTGGTATTTTAAGATTGGCCTGCATTTAATGTCCAGTTAGGACTCTGAAAATTTAGAAAATATTTCCTTCCTCCTATGGAGAGCAATACAATAGCTTTTTCACCAAAGGAAACATTTCTGACTTTTCCTTTCTCACCCACGAGAGTGAAGAATTTCTGTTATGTACATTCTTTGATAATTCCAACATTAAATATTTATGTATTTTAACATCCTAAAAATAATATTTAAATCATTTTTAGTCATCTTAACTCGGTTTCAAGAAGTCATTATATCTTCAGTGTTTCAGTATAAATATCTTCAGCATACTTTTGTACTTTTAGATTTTCAGTCTGCAGAGTGTGTGTGTTTATCTTGATTCTTTAAATTTGTAAATGTACTGATATTTGATACAACAAAAGGAATTTTAATAATCATTTTAAAAGAAAACTTCGATCTTCTTTTAGAGGAACAGAGGAAAGGTCTTATTTTTATAAACAGGTTTGAGTTGTGACCCTGTCTCATCTTGATTGCTTACTATACTGATGTTTAGAAGAATAACTGATTCTTGTTTCATTCTCACAATATTTAAATACTTAGATTATTTCAATGGCATAACATAATGGGCTGGTTTAATATTTGACTGATGAATATCTCACCAGGCATTAAAATATTTACCTTCTACACCTCTATTTAATGTAGAAGGTATGGAACTCGCTGCTCTCGATGTGGGAGACACATCCATTCTACTGACTGGGTCCGGAGAGCCAAGGGGAATGTCTATCACTTGGCATGCTTTGCCTGCTTTTCCTGCAAAAGGCAACTTTCCACAGGAGAGGAGTTCGCTTTGGTGGAAGAGAAAGTCCTCTGCAGAGTGCATTATGACTGCATGCTGGATAATTTAAAAAGAGAAGTAGAAAATGGTAAATATTTACTTAAATACTTTTGAGTCTTTTGAGACAGTCAATACAGGAATAAAAATAACTTTTCCTAAGGTAATCTTAATGCATTATTTTGTACAACGTAGAAGTGTGGTAAAACTCATTAAGTACTCTACTGTTCATGATGGTCTCTATTTGTTTATTTACAAGGAAAGCCATGGTGTATGTATTAGTTTTGTGCCACATTCTCAGGCCGCAGCTTTGAATTAGGATTTTGCTTTTCTTTTTGTAAATAGTTGTTGTCCTGTATTTGCTGGGCCTTAGATATGTGCTTCTAACTTTTTGAACTTTTCACTAAATATACAAGCCTCTAAATGGAATATGTTTTGTACAGTATATCTGTAGTATGTTTTAAAACTTAAGGGGTTTTGCCATCTAGAAAACATATACAGTTACACAAAAAGCCAAGAGATATAAGAAACCTGTTATTGCAAGATGGGTGTACCCATTTGAATTACAAACATATATAGTATGTTTTTTAAATTCAGGTAATGGCATTAGTGTGGAAGGTGCCCTCCTCACAGAACAAGATGTTAACCATCCAAAACCAGCAAAAAGAGCTCGGACCAGCTTTACAGCAGATCAGCTTCAGGTAAGCATTAACAATGAATTTTTGATTTTGAAGCCCCTCCCAACCAAGAAAAAAAAAAGCTATCTCTATGCTGCCTAAAAACATTTTTATATTTTCTAAAAAATTAGCCTATGTGTTTTATGAAAACTAACTTGGTGAATATATGAAACCATACTTATTGCCCTAAAGTGTTTGTCGGTATTTCTGGCATCATAATATGATATGAAATAGTCATTCAAGCATTGTTTCCCTGGGGTCTATTGGTATCAACATCAAAGTGGAAACGAAATATTTTGTCTTAACTTCCTGATTACATCATTCTGAACCAGACATTTATATTTCTACACATAATTGCAATGGAATACAAGATATTTTGAGACTCTGAAGAGATATACATGTCCAATGTGAGTCTATGGGACACTAATGTGTTAGTCTTTTTAACAAACTGCAGTGAGTCATTTAATGAACACAATTGTATGGTTTTTGTGTAGGAAATAATTGAATGTGCCTTAAAGTTAACAGGAAACTACTGGTTGACTACAGTTGAGCGGATTCCTTTATGGTTTTAAAGGTGGTAAAGGGAGTACTTCTATAATTTGATGTTAAAGGTTTGTTGTGTCCCCTGAAAAGGGTGGGATTTTTTTGAGCTTAGTTGCCCTAAATATGATTGTCATAAATTTGATTTATACTAATTACAAAATAATTAAATTACTCCTTGCTTTATACACCTATGTAATGCTTCCTTCTGGCATTTTTGCTGATAATGAAATCATATTTTCTAAAAGATTAATGTGAATGAGGCATTTGTTGCATGTTAAGGAAAAGTAACATTTGTTGAACACCTACTACACTGCTGGGGGCCTTATACATAGTATCCATCTTAGCTCAGACTTTAAAGGACATTTATGCAGTGTTAACAAATGAATAAAAGTAACTTTTTCAAAAATCACATTTAGTATTCTAAGACCTGCCAGTATTTAAGATGGATACAAGTGTTTCAAGAGAGAATTTTTATTTTGAGATTGATTTAGGAAAGAAACCTTGATGCAACACACATATTCCAAGGGAACATGGCAGTAGGAAGCACTCTAGCATTAAAATCTAGATCCATTCAGAAGAATTTTCCAAATGGATGATTGTTTTAGATTTCTTAATTTAGGCATAAATTAGATTTCTTAATTTAGGCATAAAGTACATAGTCAATAAGTAATGAATGAAAGATAAGGCAATTGAAAGAAATATCTCTGTTTGAGCCTTGCTTTCTGGGTTCTTCACTGGATTATAATGAAGATCACACAATGCCCTAAGTCGGAAGATGAGAGTACTTCTGAGAGACCTGGAAAAATACTCAGTCACTAAAGGCGGCTAGTTAAAATAGAATCTCTAATATAATTCTGTTTTTACAATGGTCTGTTCCCATGAAGGACTGGCTATCATTTTAATAATTACAAGGTTGATAACTTTTATTGGATATAATAATTTATTATTAAAGTTATAATTGTGAAAATTTGAAACCACTGTAGGTAGACACTTTTCTATGGGAAAATAATTATAAATACTAATTAAATTAAATAAAATGGGAATAATATTTGTGGAGGTCCTTTTATGCCAAGTCCTATACCAGGCATTTATCTACATTATCTACTTTAACTTTTACAACAAACCTCATTCAAGAGTGCAGGAACTCCTCAAGGCAAACCACCAAGGGAATGGCAGAGAAGAGATTTGGAACCTTCTCCTCAAACCTCTGGTCTCTTCATTTTGCTTGATCTTCCAGGAGGCCATGAATGGAAGTCTGTCTTATCAAAACTCCACTTAGTAAAAGCAGCAGCTAAAGCAAAAGAGTGAGATTTTGAATCTTGTAGATAGCCTTATGGTTAAACATGCATAAAATATTTAAGCCATGCATTATGGTAGGTAAATGTGATCTGAATCATAAGTTTTAAAAATTGTATATCAGAATGATAGGTTTTAAAAAATGAAAGCATATTACCATTTTCAGATTACCCATGAAAGCATATAGGTAATATGCTTTCAAAGTATATTCTCATTCAATATTTATTAGCATTTATCTTATGGAAGGGGTGGGTGAAACAAATGAGATACAATCTTTGTCCTAAAGTGGTCCTTTGTAATTTAGGAATCTGAAATAGATATTTTAAAATACCTTGAATCATAGATATTTTAAATGAAGAACACTTGAGTCATTTATTTTAGCCAGACCCTCTAATAAATCGGTATCCTTATTGTCAAACTGTGCTACCTTTAGGAATGCTGAATATTTTCAAGTAGAGCTTGAATTTGGCAAGATAATAAAATATTACACGTGACCAGTGAGTAAGTCAAGACTATCTAGTCAGTGCCTGCTTTGGACAGAGGAGAGTTAAAATGGAAGGGATAAATAAGAGAATTTCCCAAAATTATTCTTTAGAAATTTATGGGGAGAAAAAATAGTTTAAGACTCAGAGGATGTATTGGCAAATGGATTTCAAATACTGTCCCATTTGTAGAAATGATGTTTAAGGATTTCCTGCTAATATTATGGCTTGCTTATTCTAGGTAGAAGCACTTAATGATTATTGATATTAAACATGCCAAGGTTAGCTCCTGCTTTCGTCTGTTTTCAGATCGAGTTGCTGCTATGCAGCCTCCTGACTTTTCTGGTAGATCTCCTGGCCTAAAAATGATGAGTGTCTACAGAGGCTCACACCTTGTCCATGTTAGAAGAACTTGGAAAAGGAGTGAAGTAGTTTTCATCAACATTAGTGCCTAGAGAATAGTGAAACTAAGTAGAAATTCAAAGTACCTCTTTTTTCTTTTTGTGTGTGTGACTAATTATTGATACTATTGAAAGGAAGAACAATCAACTCATCTTACTTTTCCCTTAGGATATTTCAATTCTAAATGATCAGAGTTGTTTTGCTTTACTCTTTAATGAGAAATTACTTCATTAAATATAATTTGGTTGCATTGTTAAATTTGTGACTTTAAAAATGCATTTATGAAAAGCATGAAGTTTCTGTTTTGTAAATTATTAATAATGACCTTACAAACAAATCCCCAAGTCTGTTCAACTTTTTTCTATTTGAAAAATTAAAAAACAAAGACATAATTTGCTCATTCTCTTTCTATTTGGGGTTATTACATGTCCAACTGCATAGAAACACAAGTCTATTTTCACAGGAAGATATCAAAGTAACACATTTGGAGTAGGAAAGAATGAATAAAGTGAACTGAGCAAGAATAAACTTTTAAGCCAATTCTGTCCTTTTGTAAAAGCAAAAAATCCATGTTCTGTTTACAGTGAGTCTGTAGATACAATGTAGCTAGATAGGAAGCCAAGAATACTTAATTCTAGAAGGGTAAATTTGTAAACCTCAAAATTTGTAAACCTCAGAAGGTTTCCCAGAACAATATTGGTCTTTTTTTTCTACACTGTATTCAGATTTTCCTTACATTGTCAAGTTTTACTCTGTCACAAACTCTTAACATACTCCCTGACAGAAAGGGAGTTTAACTCCTAGGGATATGAAGAAAAAGACATTCCCCTTGATCTCAAGGAACTCACTTTCCACTATGGAGATAGACTTGAAAACAAATTATTTAGCTACCCTGTGACAAGTGTAGTAGCAGAAGATAGCATTATACACGGAGCATAGTGCAGAATGCAATTAATTTTGCCTGCTGAAAAGAGTAGAAGCCAGCAGTGCTTGAGGTCTTTAGATAGATTGGTTACCCACATCCTATGCCTGTAGACAAGCACAGTCACACTGGGTGCCAAACTCCTCTCTCTCATTCTTCGTAATAATACATTTCTTACATTTTGTAATGCTTCCCTCAGTTGACTGACTTTTAATAATAGAATTCAAGTATCTCACTTAATTCTTATAATGATTCTCTTTTCTGAAGGAATTCAAAGTTTTTGACTTGTGCTTTTATTCCAGCACTCTCTCCCACTCTGCTCTTCTCCGTTTATCTTTTATTATAGGTATTTATTGGCATGTCGGCATCTTTCTGCCAGGAAATTAAAACCAAAGAGTTTTGTTTCATGTTTCACTATCTCTTAGCACTTGGCATGGTGGTTTCAATCCAAAAGCTCACATCAAAATCACCTGTAAGCTTTTAAAATATATACATGTTTAGACCCTGGTAAATTCTTATTCAGTGGACTCTGGTGAGTGTCTCTTTTTAGACACTTTTTTTTTTTTTTTTTTGCGTAGAGCTAGTGCTCAAAACCATGATGGGATCATTACAATGAAGTGGAATCCTTCTGTTGATGTGTATACTATTAGGTATTAGGGGCTCTGAACCTCTTTAGCTCAGGAAAGGTTGGAGACAAATGTGATATGATTTTTGTATTAAGTTTTCAAATGTTGGCAATTTTTAACAAAATGGAAAAAACAATAAATGAAACTCCTGCTATTTGATTTGTGAGTTATAAGATTGGAAGAAAAGGAAAGGTGAGCTTATTTTTAACAGCATAGTTGAGAGTTTTATGTTGAAATAACTTTTTTTAAAGTTCTCAGCATAGCAACTTGTGTATAAATTTACAAAATATGCATTCATTTTCACTTACACATATTTCCCCATACTGATTTGCAAGTAATAAAAGTATCACATGTTCTTGTGCATGTCTTATCTCTTATGATAAAAATGCAGGAAGAAGACCGAGCTGCTTGTTTTTAGCTATTTACTACATACATGTTTTAAACAACAGGTTATGCAAGCACAGTTTGCTCAGGACAACAACCCAGATGCACAGACACTCCAGAAATTGGCAGAAAGGACAGGCTTGAGCAGACGTGTGATACAGGTGATTACTTTTTTTTTTTTTAAGGTTTTTAAAAATAGATATCGGGTCTCCCTATGTTGCCCAGACTGATCTGGAACTCTTGAGCTTAAGTGATTCTTCCACCTCGGCCTCCCAAAGTAATGGGATTACAGGATGAGCCACCGTACCTGTCCATAGGTGATTAACTTAAAGGTCAATCAAGAGAAACAAAAAGTTCTAATTCTGGGTATTTATAAGTATGCATTGGGGTTTTTTCTTTTTTGTAGGTGAAGAAGTGTGAAAACATTACTTTCTTATTTTAAGTCTCTTCACATTCTAAATCAATTTTTTTTAAATGTAATGATTGTCCTGCTTGGGCTAGGCTATCATTTGTCAAATGAGTCTTTGTGCATCCTACTTCATTCAGTGCTCACAGCAACCCTAAGATCCTCAGGCTAAAAAAGTTCCAAGATAAATCTTGCTGTAAGGTCGGTGTTTTTTCCTACTTTTTCTATGATTGTGTGTGTGATGGCTGCTGATGGCCTCTGTCAAAGATCCAGGGAGAGGAGCTGGTGTAAATAAAGCTGGAAAGTGATGAATTCATGCAAGTTTTTTTGAAGATAGAATTTATGTTTGGAAATAGTGGGAAATGAAATTCTTGGAGTTCAAGTCGGAGAGGCCTGCGAATGCAGAGTTCTCTTCTGAGCAGGTAAATGCCATGATATGAGATTTTAGGAAGAAAGGGCTAGTCACAGCATATGGGAAGAACTGGAGTTCTATCTAGTCAGAGAGACTAGATAGAGGTAGGCAGTTTAGTTGGAATGCTGGAATGCCCAGCAAAGTAGTGTGGTTTTGTTGTTGTTATTTGCTTTTTTGTTTGTTTGTTTCTGAAGAGACACTTAACTGGGGTAAAATTCATTTCGGAAACTTTTTGAAACAGGGTCATGCTTGGCCTAGGCTGGAGTACAGTGGTGCAATCACAACTCACTGCAGCGACCTCCTGGGCTCAGGTGATCCTCCCACCTCAGCCTCCCAAATAACTGGGACCACAGGTGCACACCACCACGCCTGGCTAATTTTTAAATTTTTGTAGAGACAGAGTCTCACCATGTTGCCCAGGCTGGTCTCAAATTCCTAGACTCAAGCAATCCTCCTCCCTTGGCCTCCCAAAGTGCTGGAATTATTGGTAATGAGCCACCATGCCCAGCTGAGAAACATTTTATTGACTGAACACTGATGGCAGTTGATGGATGCTGGAAAGACAAGAAATATTTGGTAACTGTAATGGGGAAGCAGAGAGGTGTCTAAGAGTCAATGACTCTGCCAGGCTCAGTTGCTCACACATGTAATCCCAGCATTTTGGGAGGTCAAGGCAAATATGTCACTTCAGTACAGGAGTTTGATACCAGTCTGGGCAAGGTGGTGAAACCCTGTCTCTACAGGGGGGAAAAAAAAAAAAAAAAAAAAAACCCAGCCAGGCATACTGGTGTGTACCTGCAGTCCCAGTTACTCGGGAAGCTGAGGAGGGAGGGTCACGTAAGTCCAGGAGGTTGAAGCTGCAGTCAGTCATGATAGCACCACTCCACTCCAGCCTTGGTGATGGAGTAAGATCCTCTCTCAAAAAAGTCAGTGACTTATAAATTTGAAGTCAAAGTAATCTTGGGAATGGAGCCATTGACAGGAATGTGAAAGTCAAAAGAAAGCTGGATTGGAAGTTGGACCCTTTTAGCTGTGCTAATTATGCAGTGATGGTGGCAGTTAAGTATGTAAACAGGTATTTGAAAGAATGAACAGGACTCAAGCAAAGAGATCTAATGCCATGAAATTGGATAAGATCCTTAAGAAAGAGATCATGGGGTGTAAAAGGTGAAGAGTGGGTTTTAGAGAGCGGGGTAAGAGGTGCTGTTTAAATGGGATGTAGTAACAGCCAGAGTTGAGGAAGGAGTCAGGTGGAGAAACAGCATGGAGGCTGAAGAAGTGGGGTAAATTCAAGAACGAGATGGCCAGCTGTGTCAAGATTATCAGAGAGACCAGGGAAATGGAAAATAATTTTATTTCATTTTATTTTATTTTTTCCAAGACAAAGAGTCTGTGTCACCCAGGCTGGAGTGCAGTGGCACGATCTCGGCTCACTGCAACCTCTGCCTCCCAGGTTCAAGCAATTCTCCTGCTTCAGCCTCCTGAGTAGCTGGCATTACAGGTGCATGCCACCATGCCCGCCTAATTTTTGTATTTTTAGTAGAGACGAGGTTTCACTATGTTGGCCAGGCTGTTCTCAGACTCTTGACCATGTGATCCTCCTGCCTCAGCCTTCCAAAGTGAGGGGATTACAGGTGTGAGTCACCGTGCCCAGCCAGAAAATAATTTTAAATAATACTGGAAGTTCAAAAAATTTAAGAAATGAAAGCAAGTAACCATAAAAGGCAAGAGGAAACTCAGGGAAGGGAAAGGTGAATGTCTTCATTGCACATATTATATTTTGTTTCTTAATTTGGGTGGTTGATACACAGGTACTTATTCTTCCGTAAGCCTAAAATGTTTCATAATTAACAAATCATCTGTACAAAGAAGCAGATGGAAAAGACCTGATGGTACTGCAGCTTCTCTAAGGACCTAGGGTTCCTAGTGTTTTAATTGACTGCAGGGTGATGAGGCTGTCTTAGGAGACAAGTTCTACCACTTCAGCAGTTTTCAGATATCCAGATTATTGTGCTTATTTCAGAGTGCCAAATTTTAAGAAGGGACTAATAAGCAATCTGAAAAATATACTACCTTAAAGGTTCCCAGGGTTGTGAAAGATTTAGATCATTCCGTAATATTAAAGGCAGCAGGGATATTTATCTGGAAATAAGGCCAGGAGATGGTAAAGGAAAGAGTAGGTGTCTTTAAATATTTGTGAAAAGCTTCCTGCAATGGAATGTAGAAAAAGGCACTGGTGTTCACTCACAATGAACTTTCTCATTATTGCAAGGCTACACAAATGGCACCAACTACGAAGGAAGGTAGTGAGTTTCCTGTGCCTGGGAGTACAGTTTTGTTTGGGAGGTAGTTCAGACTCCATGGGCTAAAGGTTCCTTCTAATTTAAGACTCTGTATATTCATAACAATGGTAACTTCAGGTAAGTCAGATGCATGACTGTTATGTTTTATACCATTTGAAGGTGGAAGCAAAGAAGGAGAGTTTTCTTAGAGCTTTTCATATTTGAAGGACTAAGGAACACAGGCAGACATCTGTCATGTAATTTCCAGGTATTTAGGTTACTAGTACTATGAGCAAGTTAACATTGTCCTATACCCTACCATTTGAAGAATATGTTTTGAATGTTGGCTTTCAATATGTTAGGGTTCAACATTAAATATTTTTGATATGATTCCAAAGGAAAGAGTACTAGCATGCATATGTGTATATTATTTGTATCTGTACATAGGCTTACTCTATGTTGTAGCCCTTCAGAGTATTTTTTAAGAATTACTGTAATCTCAAATAGTAATCATACTTTCCCTCAGCCTCCTTCCTAGCATTGGGCACAATATTTTAGAAAGGTAAGAAAAAAGAGTTTTTATTACTAGACTTCTTCTAATTCTGATATGCAAACTAGATCGCCCAAAGATTAGGGGGAAACGGTGGTCTGGTACATGGAGAGTTTCACATTTCCTAGTTACAAATATGCTTAGTAAGACATTTGTAATAAAGCAGAGTGTTATTATACTGAAGTCAAAGAATAAAGATGAGTGATATTTTTCCCCCACACACTGCATCCAGATATAATCACTGTTCACATACTCTTTCAGATAAGTGAATTATGACTTTTATGTTGTGTAGAGACAGAGTAAAATATTGCTATTTCTTCCAATCAGTGTACTGGGAAGATCCTTCCATATTAAGATTAACATCATATTTATTGCCACATACATTGAGCATAGTACAATTTATTTAGTTTCCAATTTTTCACTATTATAAAATGCTGCCATGAGTAACATTGTATATCTACCTTGCATGCTTGTTCAATAGTTTCCTTAGGATAAATTTCTGGAAGTGAGGTTGTTGAGTCCAAAGATAAAACATGCATAGGGCCTTTATACAAACATGAAATTTCTTTGCCTTCCTGGAAGTTCATACAACTTTTTTCTGCCAGGAGCTACATACAAGAGTTCCTTTTCCCCAACTCACAAGAATAATGAATACTGTTATTCTTTTACATCCTTTACAACTTAATAATTAGAAAAGAAAATCTCATTGATTTTATTTTTGTTTCTTATATTATCAATGAGCTTGAACACATTTTTTCATTTTTTAAGACCGTATATTTTTCGCTCACTTTTCTGTTGGGTTATTTTCTCTATATCTTACTGATATTTATTAATCCTATCTGTCATGTTAACCTTTCACGGTTCATCAGTTTCCTTTTTATTTTTTCCACACAGAACATTTATGTTTCTGTGTGTTTAAATCTCCCAGTCTTTTGATAGTTTTGGCCTTTCTTTCTTTCTTTCTTTTTTTTTTTTTTTTTTTGAGATGGAGTTTCACTCTGTCACTCAGGCAGAATCTCAGCTCACTGCAACCTCCGCTTCCCAGGTTCAAGCAATTCTTCTGCCTCTGCCTCCTGAGTAGCTGGGACTACAGGCGCGTGCTACCACGCCCAGCTAATTTTTGTATTTTTTAATAGAGACGGCATTCAGCAGATTGGCCAGGCTGGTTTCCACTCCTGACCTCGTGATCCACCCTCCTCAGCTTCCCAAAGTGCTGGGATTACAGGTGTGAGCCATTGCTCCTGGCCTTTTTGTTTTGTTTTTTGAGATGGAATCTTGCTCTGTTGCCTAGGCAGGAGTGCAGTGGCGCAGTCTCAGCTCATTACAACCTCCGCCTCCTGGACTCAAGCAATTCTCCTGCCTCGGCCTCCCGAGCAGCTGGGACTACAGGTGCTCGCCCCCACGCCTGGCTAATTTTTGTATGTTTAGTAGAGATGGGGTTTCACCATGTTGGCCATTCTGGTCTTAAACTCCTGAACTTGTGATCTACCACCTCAGCTTCCCAAAGTGCTGGGACTATAGGTGTGAGCCACCACTCCTGGTCTAGTTTTGGTCTTTCTTATGCTTCCCTGTCTAGAGAGTACTTCGGTGTTGCTTTTTGTTTTCTTAAACTTTTATTGTTTCAATTATTTACACCTAAACTTTCATTTATCTGGCTTGGTTCCATGGGAGATAGGGTTTTATCTATTTTTTCTCTCTCTTTCAAATGATAAACTATTAGTTTTCCCTAAATCAGTGAACCATGCTTTCCCAATAAAATAAAATCCCATCTTTGTCATATACAAAATTATTATATTTGGCTTTTTGTCTGGGCTTTCTAAAGGTTTAATTCTATGCATTAGTATTTTGCTTTTCCATTATATCTACATGGCCTGATTTTAGCTTAGTTTATGATTTAGAACTCAAAAATTTTAAAGTAGTTACTCAGAAAATTGTAACTCTTGTTGGATGTTTGCAAAGCAGAAGGAGGAAATTTTGTCAGTGAGGAGAGTCACAAGGACTTATATTTGATTCTGAAGCTGGGTAGCATTCATGCCAGAAGGAATTTTCTGATGTCTGGAATCTTAAACTATATTTTGGTCTACCAGTTACATGACACTGTGTTTGCAAACCTCCCTCTGCTTGATTAGCTCTGGATGATCTTTCCAAGAAGCTGCTTAATCAGTATTAAGATAGTTATTCTGCTGTTTATGTTATACCTTCTTCATGTTTATTTACAAAGTTTGAGGGTTTTTCCCAATCAAAAGATGATGTTTCTTTTGTTTTACAACTGTGTAGGTTCCATTCACTGTATAATTTATTGGAGACAAAAAGATACTTTGAAGAAGCTCTGGGAATCATAATGCAACATGTTTTAGGTTACATGTAGTCCTCTGGCATATGTGTCTTCTGGGGTCCCATAAGGGAAAAAGGCAGGTGGCAGCGGTTCCCCCTTACACATTGGAGAATGTTTGAGTAATGTCATCTTATTTAGGTGAGATTAGTGTTAGTAGTGACATCTATTGTTCCAGAGCCTGTGGGCAGAACTGTGGAGATTTGGGGTGTGGTCTATAGGTATCTCTGAGTCTCACTAACACTTCAGAGAACAGGGATGTGGAGGAGGCTGTGACTTGCCACTTATCTTCCTTGATACATGCCTAAGTCTTGTCCCAGAAACATTCCTTAGGTGCTACTTTTCAGCCTCCTGCTCAAGGCTATGTACCCCGCTAGATTATTAATTTTTATTCTTTTAGTTTTAATTACTCTTGAGAGTATACTTTGCCAGCCTTCTATTTTTCAATGCCAGGAGCAGGGTGTAGCTCTGAAGTAAGGCCAGCTTTTTCTTATAAATTCTTTGCAGCTTCCTTTTATTTCACATTAATCAGCCCTGATTGCCTTGTGCCATCAAGGCCCTACCACCAGCCTTGAACAGACTTATGCCCCTGATGTTTTCCTGGCCTCATATCCCCCGATCCCAAAATGTTCTCATGCTAAGTTTTTATCCCTTCACCTCTCTTTCCTCTCATGACAGAGTTGTTTGAAGTGATGGAAAATAAGTGATACAGTATTTTAATGAAGTAACACTCTCTATGGTCAAGTTTTATCACCTGGCAGGGAATTCAAACACAGGCATATTAGCTACTGAAAGCCTTCTGGGCAGCCTAGACTTACTTGCCCTGACCTGGATGTAAACCTCCACTTGCCCTGAATTTGCTTCTTTTATTTCTGCAGTAGAGTGGACAGCAGGGTGGTTAGCACTTTACATTTTGTGAACTCTCACCAGTGGATGTGTTTGTATTTAATTCTACTTAAATATTATGAGTTTTTTCTTATTATAGACCTGACTTAACATGCTTCTTAGGGAATAGCCTATGTATTCACCAAGAGAAATTGAACTCAGCAGGTTAAAATCTGACTGGAATAACTGAATCAAGAGGTTTGTAGAAAGCTTTAAGTTCTCAGTAGGGATTTTAGTCATTTGAACAAGGATTTGAAATAAGTCCAGCAGGTGCCTAAGAATACATTTAGTAGTCTTTTTTTAAAGTTCTGATTAAAAGAGCTTTTTCTGCTTTTCTTTTTGTCCTAAATGCCAGTAGTAAAACCAAGGAGATTTCTCTGGAATTCTTGAGGGCCCTTTCCCACCTTTTCTGGGGAAGATGCTGTTTTAGTATAGAATTGGATTTTATTTTTATTTTTTTTTTAAATAAATATAATAGAGTTTGGGGGGTATTTTTGTTTTGGCTTTTTTTTTTCTTTTTTTTTTTGAGACAGAGTCTCACTGTGTCGCCCAGTCTGGAGTGCAGTGGCGCGATCTTGGCTCACTGCAACCTCCACATCTCGGGCTCAAGTGAGTCTCCTACCTCAGCCTCCCAAGTAGCTAGAATTACAGGTGCCAACCACCACGGCCAGCTAGTTTTTGTATTTTTAGTAGAGATGGGGTTTCACCATGTTGGCCAGGGTGGTACTGAACCCCTCACCTCAGGTGATCTGCCTGCCTCAGCCTCCCAAAGTGCTGGAATTACAGACATGAGCCACAGCACCCAGCCAAATCTAATAGAGTTTAATAATTGCATTCAAGAGGTAACTTTAACATCTGACCAACTCAAATTCAACAAACCAAAATCACTTAAGCAATTGGTCCCCTTTCCTACTTAAATAGAATTGGCTTTTAGGTAAATCACCAGAGAGCTATCAACTGAGCAAGAAAAATGACCACTGTTATTTGGACTAAAATGTTTCTTTTCTGTCTATAGAACTTTTATAAAAGATGATTTACATTTATGCTATGCTTGTGTGGTAGTGTGATTGAGGTTGCATTCATTTTTTAACTGGGTTGATAATGTGCTCAGAAGCTGGTGTGTAACCTACCTACTTCTGTTGCTTTTCTCCCTGCTCAGGTGTGGTTTCAGAATTGTAGAGCACGCCACAAGAAACATGTCAGTCCTAATCACTCCTCCTCCACCCCAGTTACAGCAGTCCCACCCTCCAGGCTGTCTCCACCCATGTTAGAAGAAATGGCTTATTCTGCCTACGTGCCCCAAGATGGAACGATGTTAACTGCGCTGCATAGTTATATGGATGGTAGGTATCCCAACATTTAACAGCTGTCTCCCAAGCAATCAACAACTGGTAACTTCCAATATTAGATAATTGATACAATTTGTATTTTGAAATATTACCTCAGTGGTAGCTAAAAATAATGTGGGGGGTGCAGTAGAGACAAAATTATCCAAACATTTTTATTTCTGTGATTACATTTTAAGAAAGAAGTTTAATACTCACTTTGCAGCTAAGATGCAAATATTAATAATGACTCAATGCTTGATCTTTACTTAGAGATTTTTTGTTTGTTTTTACTGGTAAATGTTTAAATACTTTATTTCCTGTGATCAGAGCAAGTGTTCACACTCAGATCTTTAGATGGGGGTTTAATAAGTTTTGTTAAATAATTGTTTTTTATTGAAGCAAATAATACATTTAGAAGGGTGCATACATAACTATACAGCTTGATGAATTAATAAAATGAATGTATCCATATAGATACTGCCCAAAGTAGCAGACATAATTAACATTTCAAAAGCCTCTCTTATGTCTCCGTCCAATTATTATCCTTTTCTCCCAAAGTAACATAGCACCTGATTTCTAAAACCACCCTTTAGTTTTGCTCTTTTTGAACCATACAGAATGTATTATGTGTCTCACTTCTTTCAATTACATTGTGAGATTCACCTATATTATTGTTAGAATCAGTTATTTGTTTTCATTGTTATATAGAAATCCACTGTAGGAATATACCACAATTTATCCATTTCCTGGTTGATAGTTGCTTGTTTTTTTTTTTTTTCCAGTTTGTGCTTTTGTGAATATGCTGCTATGGACTTTATTGTACATGCTTTTTGTGCTCGTTAATTCACATTTCTACTAGATATGTACCTGGGAGTGGGACATAAGGTCATGGGCTACACATATGCTCAACTTCAGTCATTCTGACAAACAGTTTTTCATAGTGGTTGAACCACTTTACACTTTGACCAGTGGCAAGGTTCAAGATGCTTCACATCCTCACCAACACTTGGTATGGTGTAACTTCCTGATGTTAGCAGATTTGATGATTGTGTAGTGCAATCTTATTTTAATTTGCCTTTACCTGATGACTGAGCATTTTTTCATCAGGCATTTGTATATTCTCTTTTGTGAAGAGCTGTACAAGTCTTTTGTCTGTTGGCCTACTGGCTTGTCTTTATTATTTATTTAAATTGATTTGCTTTAGTTCTTGGTGTAATCTGCATATAAAGCTTTTTGATAACTGTATGTGCTTAGAATATTTTCTCCTACTCAGTAGCTTGGCTTTTTCTACTCTCTTAATGGAATGTTTCATTGAGCACAACTTCCTAATTTTAATGTAGTTTATTTCATCATTTTTCCTGCATGAGCCGTGCTTTTCTTGGTGACATGTGCAAGAAATTGTTTATACTCAAAGATAATGAAAATATATCTTCTATGATATCATCTAGAAACTTTGTTTTACCTTTGATGTAAATTCAAATTCATTTGGAATTGAATTTTGTGTGTGGTGTGAGATAGAAAGTGAAGCTTTTCTGTTATGTTGATGAAAATAGAAAATGTCCAGTTTCTCTGTAGAGACACATTTGCCATAAATCAAATGTCCATATATTGTGTCAATTTCTGTACTTTCTGTTCTGTTAGTCTATTTTTTTGTTGCTACCTAATCATTCTAATCATACTGGGTCTATAATTCTTAATATCTGATAATAAGTTTCTTTCTATTTCATTGTTATTCAAGTTTGTATTGCTCATTCTTGGCCCTTTATATTTTCATAAAATTTACCTACTTGTCAATTTCTACCCCAAAAGGGAAAACAATTAATATTTTGATACAATCTATTATAGCAAATATATTGATCAGTTTTAGGAACTGCCATCTTAACAGTATTGCCTTCCATACCATGAAGTTTAATAAGTCTTTCCATTTATTTAGATCATCTTTAAGTAATCTCTTATGATTTAGAGTTTTCTGTTTAGTAATCTTGCACGTCTTCTGTTAAGTTTATCTCTAAGTATTTCTTTTGATTCAGTTGTAAGTGATATTTTCTTTGTATGTAGAAATCTGGGTTGGTATTTTCTTTCAGCACTTTGAAAATATGATTACCTTGTCTTCTGATTTTCATTGTTTGTTTTGCATATGGATAGCTAATTAACCTGGCTCCATTTACTGGTAAAGTCAGCTGTTTTCCCTGTTGCTCCTTTTGAAAATAAATGTCTTTTTTCCTCAACTTTTTTCTTTGTGTTTGTCTTGAAAAAGTTTTATCATACTGTGCCCAGGTGTGCTTCTTGAATATGTAGTTTGATGTCTTTCATTATGGTAAATTCTCAGCTTTTGTCTCCTCAAATATTGTTTTTGTTCCTATGAAAAAATTTTCATGTTTTCTTCTGAACTATTTTTCTAGTTCACTAATACTCTCTATATCTAATATCCTGTTAAAAAAAATCTTCCACTGACTTCTTAATTTCATTTATTGTGGTTTTCAGTTTTAAGATTTCCATTTATATGCTGAAGTCGTCCATTTTGTCACTTTATCCTTATTTAAATTAAAGTTCATGTCTGATAACTCCAGTATCTGGATCTTTGGTGGGTCTATTTTTTTTTTCTTTATTTTCCTCTTTATTTTCTTTCAAGTCATGTCTAGTTATTTGTCTTCTTAATTGTTATTGCATTTCAGATGTTGGGTATGAGTAACTAAAGATAATTTGAGGCTTTGGATGATATCTTCCACTAGAGAAGATTAGTTTTACCCCCCAGGTAGTCAGGATAGGGTGAAATCAACTTAATCCAATCAGGCACAAATCCTCAGGAGGGCTGGTATATTTTTGTTTTACTACTCCTTGGAGTTAGCTCTTTGGAATCACAAATGTATCCCTGTTTTGTTTTGTTTTATTTTGTTTTCTGTTGTTGTTTTTAACTAGGGCTTCTCCTCTTCAGTGGGCCCTGCTCTTTAATTTTTGTTTTTTACCACTCTGCCAAAGTCTTAACTTCTGAATGCTCTGCTAAACTTCTCGGCCTATCAGACATTTGTTTTGTTTTAAATTGTCACTATCCTTGTGGGAGGAAAAGCATCCTCATTTTCTTTCCCTCCACTCTGGAACTTTGTAAGTCCTCACTCCTTAAGTGTCTTTCAGATGCCTTCAAACAGATTTTTAAAATTTTGTCCAGATTTCCTAGTTGGTCTCAGAGAAAGATTTGGTTTGAAGCAACATAGCCCTTGCTGAAAGCAGAAATTTCATTTTAAGTTTTGGTTAAATAAAAAAATCAGAGCCTGTAACATTGTTGCCATTTACTTATACTAGCATTAAAATTGTGTGTGTTCACATGAAAGACAGTAGTGTTGCCTGAGTCCAGTGTGTTTTGATGTATGCCTAGGGAGGAGGTAATTAAACATTAATGAAAGAAACTTGGGGAAGATCATCCTATACAAACACCTTCATGAGAAAGCTAGCAGCATCTCTGAAGAGGAACCCATGTCTTTCTAGCTTCAGGGTGAAGTGCAGTGAATGGGGTATGGATGGAGGACATTAAAGTGGCAAAATCTTGTGGCCCCAAATAAAGATTTGGGGGTAAAACTGTTCCTGGACTCTCACTATGCTGAATAAGTTAATGCTTCTGCTGAGGTCAGTGGAATGAGTGTAGCTTGGTGCCCTCAGCTATAATGAGTGATGAAAACATTGCCTTGGATTGTTTTTGTTTGTTTATAAATCAGTTTTATTCACCCTACAAAACTGATCCACAAATTTCTTTCTATTTTGTAGCTCATTCACCAACAGCTCTTGGACTCCAGCCCTTGTTACCCCATTCAATGACACAACTGCCAATAAGTCATACCTAATTCTTTTTTCAGGGATAGACTTGATTAAGGATATAAGTTCATCATTTATTATGTATAAAATACCATTGAAAAGATATTGCTGTTAATTTTTTATTTAACACCTAAAGCATTTCCAACATCACTTTGCTGCCCAGGTATGTATCTATAGTTGGCCTGCAAGACACTTTTATTGATTCTTCAATTTTGGTAAAACTTATGTTTACAAGAAGAAAACAAATCAAAACATTTTTTGTATTGTCTGGAAATAGTTCACTCTAGTGTGTATCTGTTAATTTATTTGTCATCAAAAGAGCACTTTGCCTAAAAGAAAGGACTGACAAGTGTGCAAAATGTTTACAGTCTTTTGTGAAATTGTAGTTTATCATTAGTTTGTACCTGTAAGTTATTGTTATAAATATTACCTGTATTTTTTGTTACATACAACTTTATACTTTGAAGCTTGTATCTGTGAATTCGCAACTGAAATTTATTTTGCCAATGTTTTCTGAATGAACTGAATAAAGCTTCTGTTGTAGCATGCCATGCAAACACATTATTGTGTTTGTGGTTGATGAATTATGGCTGTAAATAACACTATAGTTTAATAAGCCCGCCATTCTGAGTTTATTAAACATTTTCCATTCTCATGAAAATTTCAACCAATTTGTCCTTTTTGTGTGTTTTCAGCAATAAGTTGACTTTAGTCTCTTTAAAATCTAACAACTAATAATTTTAAAAAGTGTTGTGTTTTGAGCTGTGTTGTATGAATACATTTGAGGAGGAAACATATTATTCAAAAAGAGAACACATTAAAACATTTAATTTGGCAAAAATTGTCTTTTAGGCCAGCTAATAAAATCATTGTGAAAGAGAAGGCAGAACACTTTTCAGAATGGACTTCGGAGGGTATTACAAGTCAGAAATGAAATATGGGCCATAATATATTTCTTCAGGAGTGAAAAAAGAGAACTAAAAGTTTCTAGAGTAAGAACTCTTTGCATTTTCTTCTTGGTGAATACGCTTTAGGGACTGTGATTCTGAGAGCTGAAATCTAAAACTCAGGACTTTATCTTATGTGACAGTGGACTTGCAAATTTTTGTATTTAAAGAATTTAGTACTCACTTTTTGTCTTTTTATATGCCAGTTGGGGGGAAAAAAGGTAATGAGAAAAAACTTTTAGAACTTAGATTTAAGTCTTTGTTTAACTGAGCAGATTTCCATCAGGCTGAGGACTGAAAATAATAGTAGAGTATTTGTAATTTTATTCTAGTAATCATAAATACAACCAGAAAGTAATCATGTGGACATAAGTAACATCTATCTGGAACCAGAAGCAACAAACCTGCTTCATTATGGGAGAGAGGGATTTTTTTTTTTAACTGGCTACTTTATTTTAAATCACTTTGTAGCCAAAAGTCAATCCATCTGATCTTGAGATTGATACTAATCTCTGTGGGTTTTTGTCTGCCTGTCCCAGGCATGAAGTGGTGAGGTCAGCTTTACCTTTACCAGATGTCAAGGAAAGCTTTTGTAATATAGCCAAGCTCTGCACTGTTAGCAGTTTACAGCATTTCCCAGCTGACTATAATTGGCATCCCGTACCTTGGGAGGTGGCTGATTGTGAGTATTATTTGCTGTCTTTTTCCTGTGCTCACCATCCTCTGACTCTGTACAGAGAGTTTTTACAAAACATATCACCACCCTTTTTAGTCCCAAAGATGAATGCCCATAGTTGAAGTAAAACTTCATAACAAAGAGGTTCAAAGCTATCAGAATAGATGAGATTTATATATCCTGCATATAAAACTGTTAATCATGAAGAGATAGATATGAAAGTACTAAAAATATGATATGTGATATAAGCATCTGACTTTGCTATCTCTAGCCAGAGATCTTATTTTTAAAACCTAAAATTAGGGAAGAATTGAAGTATTTCCATGCTAGTAATATTCGGTGTAAGTATGTGAGCACAATACTTACTTGAAATTGACTATGGTCAGCTTTTGTGAAGATTAGAGAAAGAAAACTCTATATTGTTGGAGTAGCAAAGACCTGGGTAACAAGTAGTTATTTCTTAGGTGTGAAGACATTCATGAGCTGTGAGAGGATAGGATACCTTTTTTTTTTTTTTTTTTTTGCAATGCAAATCAAGAATCCTATTCAAACATTGAAATGGAAGTCACACTAAGTCAATACTCTTTAAGTGATTATTTTTAGTTGGACAAGGTAGTATTTAGTAGTAGTTTTACTTTTGACAAATGTCATTCTTAAAATTCCACATCACTCATTGTAAATTGTAAGTACATCTGTTTTGAATATCTCATAATAAACATTGTTAGATAGAATCACAGCTCAAGCTTTTAAAATTCGTTACAGTCATCTGAAAGCTGATAGCTGTAGTATTTCTTGATGTGGTACATTATGTGTATAATTACTCTAGTAGCATTATTAAACTAGGTGGCATCTTGGGACTTTGGTTATGGCATGGATGACTTTACCAGTTAGCAAAAGTAATGTTTCTATTTTATTATTTAGGACAGAAGTCATTTAGGTTGCAGTACACTAAGTACCAAAAGCATATTAGTGTAGGAAAAATTCTCAATGGCTCCTACCTGAGGAGGTAAAGAAACTGATATTGGCACTGTATGATTTTTACTCTTTTGAAACACAACTAAATATTTAGAGAGAAATGGATCTGAGTCCAAAACAAGTTCAGGTACACTGGATAACATCTAATAAACATCTACTTGGATTCAATCAGATAGTAAGTACTATTTTGTACCCTACTTTTTCCCTTTAGTAAATATATTTCCAAGTCAAATATTATCTACAATATCATTTTAATTGATATATAGTACTATGTCCCCCCAAATTTCATGTATTAAAACATAGTCTCCATTGTTGTGGTAGTAAGAGGTAGGGCTTCTGAGAGATAACCAGGTCATGAGGGAAGAACCCTTGAAAATGGGATTAGTGCCCTTATAAAGGACACCTGAGGGGCTTGTTTGCCCCTTTGCCCTTCAGCCATGTGAGCACACAGAGCAGGTGCCATCTATGAGGAATGGGTCATCACCAGACAGAATCTGCTGGTAGCTTGATCTTGTACTTCACTGCCTCCAGAACTGTGAGCAATACATTTCTGTTGTTCATAAATTACCCAGTCTGACACTTTGTTGTAGCAGCCCAAATAGACTAAAACATAGATTATTACATTGCTTGAATGAAACAATTTTATTAGATAAATAGGTTCTATCTAACTTTTTATTATGATGAATAGAGCCTAACATTGTGAGCACTTTCAGGATGTCCTGTTTGAGTGCCTCAGGGGTATTTTGAAATGTATTCACAGCAACTTCACGAAATGGATTCTATTATCACCCTTATTTTACAAACGTAGAAATTAAAAAAGTTGATATGTCTACTATCTTAGTGGGAAGTAACAAAGCCAGTATTTGAATTTAGCAGCTCAGTGATTCCAGATGCCATAATCTTAACCACTATGTTATACTATTACCATTTTAAATGACACTGTGATGGCATCTTCGTGACTATCTGCTACCTTTTAATTTATATTCTTATTTCGCCAGTGCGAATTCTTGGAAGTGGAATGGATGTGCATGCATAGGTTTAAAATAAGGCTCTTGAAATGCATTGATTGCCCCCTAAATGTTGCACAAAATTACATCTCCACCAGCAGTGTTTGAAGTGTTTTTGGAACCCTTGTCTATCCTGCCTAAATTGGAGTTGATATGTTAAATATTTTTTTAATCTTATACTCAAATTTTAAAAACTTTATATTTTATTTATTACTTGATATAAAATTGTAGTTTGCATTTCAGAGAACTAGTATTTTTTTTTTTTTTTTTTTCAGGCAGAGTCTCCCTGTGTTCCAACTACTGGGCTCAAGTGATCTTCCCAAGTAGCTGGAACTACAGATGCGTGGCACCATTTTTCTGTAGAGATGAGGTCTTGCTATAATATGATGCACAGGCTGGTCTCGAACTCCTGGGCTCAAGCAATCCTCCCACCTGTCCTCCCAAACTGTTGGGATTACAGGCATGAGCCACCATGTCCAGCTGAAAACTAGTATCTTATAAAGGGGCTAAATGTAAGCACAAGCTGCTACTTTTATGACTTTTTTTTTCCCTTTAGTTATTCTGCATATATGACTAAAGTGAGCCTTCATTAGGATTTTTTCAACTGAGGTTTCATTCACTTGATATCAAATGTTTTACTTTAGTATCTGACACACTATCATATTCTATTTTCTTTGTTGCTGATTATGGTGATAACTTTATTACATGGTCCTTCATACTTTTTAAATGCTTTTCTGTGTATCATCATATTCTCATTCAACAGATGAGGGAATTGAAATTTAGGAGGCTTCAATTAACATAATTAGGCCTTTGGTTTTAATATGCAAGAGTTCTCCAGGACACCAGATTATTTTTATAAATGTATAGAGATCTTAGGAGAATAAATTAACAAATTTCCCCCAGTTCCTTGAATTTCATAAGAAATAGACTGCCATAGGCTAAGAGGATGTGAAAACCACTGCAGGGAACAGCTTCTCCTTTTCTAAATTGTCATCAAGTACAGTACTTCCTACAAAGATCTGAACTTGCTAGGTGACTGAGAGTGGAGTTTAGGGATGGACTGTGTATGGGCACTTGCATGGGGGTATCAATGGAAGAAAAAAAGGTGTTAAGAAATAGAAAATAGAAGGGGTCCTGAGGAGGTAGAAACAACATCTGTCTTGCTTTCCATTACACTCCACAATTCCTATCACCAAGTAATCACTCAGGGATTGAATGAGGGTGGTAGAAAAACAATCAGAATAAGACTCTATGTTTGAGCGTCCTGGAATAACTTCAAATTCCAAAACAGATCTTCTCAAATCTTCAAGAAAAATATTCTTCCTTTCGTTTAGCAAATATCTTATATACCCATGGCAATTTATATTCTTTTTACACCATTTATCATGGAATGTGAGACACCTGGATTTTGGTACTTTCTCTGACACCAATTAACTACATCCCAAGGACACTTAGCATCCCTGCATGCTGATTTCGTCAACAGTAAAAGGAAAGTTTTTATGAAGCAAAAGTGAGATGAATGGAAAAAAGACATGATAAAAACATGATCCGTTCATTTAGAAGGGCAGGGTTAGTGGCCGATCAGGCACTCTGATACCGGGCAGTTGGAGCTGATGGAGCACCAGTAGTTTGGCAAGCACTGCCCTATCCCAGGCAACCCCAGGAACAAAGCAATTTATGCATTTCTTTAAATAAAGTCAGAGGTGGAGCATCTACGCTGTTAATGAGTTACACATTCTCCAGCAAAGTGCTCTTACTCCAACCTCCCTACAGATGGAAAACATCTATTTGCTGTCTACATTAACTCCCTTCTTGATCTTAAAGAATTATTCAGTCAAGTAGAGGTGTGACCTTCTGTGATTTGGATGTAGAGAGTCTCTGTATAATTTAGTTTGCAGAAATGATTTGAATGTTTTCAAAAAAAAATTTCTTAAACCCAAAGGAATTATGATGCCATATTTGAAAATGGAAATCATTGTTACAAATTCAATTTCAAAATATTTACTTCCTGGAACCAGGGTGATGTCTCTAGAGAACCACTACTAGTTATTAGCTCATTTCT